GTCAATTCCTGTCAACTGGCCACTGGCTCCACCCACTGATCCAAGGTTAATTTTATTAACACAGTCTTGGAGTTTCACAGTGTGACCAAATATCCCACAACAGAGGTGGGAACACTGTGAAGGGTGTCACTGAGCTGTGCTGGGTGAGGAGTTGGACAGACAGACAAAGACCACAGCCTTGTAAAGGCCTCAGAGACCCATCAAAGGGGCCTGGGCAAAGGTGTGAATCTGAGTTTTGTCTGTCATGCTGAATGAGACTCGCCCGTCCTTGTGCTCCAAGAAGACAGACAGACTCTGGCAGACTCACTCAGTTTCCGTAAACAGGATCTCTGGAGAGGTGACTGCCTAGTACGTGCCCTCATAGAGCCTGGTGTCCCAGAAGTCATCCTGCAGTTTTACGCTAGTCTTCCCATCCCTGGCCACACACACACACATCCAGGACCCAGGCTTTGCAGCTCCTGACCTCCACCTCCCAGTACCACTTCCCTGAGGTAAAGGCCTGCTGACCCAGCTCTCAGGGCAGGGAGTAGAATTTCAGCTGATCTGTGTGGGCAGATCTGAGGTTCCCCATGATCACGCATCCCTCTTTAGATAAGATGCGTTCAGGGTGTGTCTGGGCCCTGAGTTACAGCCACTGTGAAGAAACCATCCCTCTGATCTCTGAGACACTCAACCAGGTGGAGTACACAGGAGTCCTCTGCAGACTGAGATGGTTGGGGCTGGGGAAGGGGAGGGGACACTCGAACATGCACCTGTCCCAGCTCTCCTTTACCCACACACCTGAGGCTGAGCCCAAACACGGGGAGCAGACTCGTTCTGAGATGGACAGAGGGTGACTCACCGGTGTGGAAACGTTCTTTCCTCCAACTCTGAAAAGAACATAGATGTGTGTTAGCAGACCTAATATTTGAGTTTTCTACCAGAGGAAACCATTCCTTTGAATTCTAATGTCCCAGATGCACTTTGCACATTTTGTTTGACCTAAAATTTCCATTCCTCTTCTCTTCAAATATTGACCCTTGAATGAATTACTCTGAATACACCTTCCATTGTGTGGGCTAGAGGGGTTCACCGTACAGCTATTGTCTTCTCCAACAGGTAGGTGCCATTCCACGCCCTCCCTCAGGCACTCCTGAGCACACATGGGTGTGACGCAGGTGTGAAGAGTGGCACGGAGTTCGTGTGAACGTTCCCCACTTTCACTCTCATTATAGCATGTTCCCACCCTCCCCAGGATGGCCTTCATGCTGGTCCCCAGGACCGTGTGCACACTGGTCCCCAGGCTGGTCTTCAGGGTGGTCCCCAGGACAGTCTGCACGCTGGTACCCAGGCTGGTCTTCAGGGTGGTCCCAAGAACTGTCTGGTCAGCATGCTGGTTCCCAGGACAGTGTGCACTCTGGTCCCAAGTTGGTCTCCAGGACTGTTCGATCAGCACGCTGGTCCCCAGGCTGGTCTTCAGGATAGTTTACACTCTGGTCCCCATGACGGTCTGCACACTGGTCCCCAGCACAATGCTGTCTAACTGTGAATGTGGGGCACACTTTAACCTCAAGTCTGTGAACGAGAGAGAGGAGAGGTACTCAGGAAGTATATGTGAAATGGTCACAGCTTTATTCTTCATGCCAAGTAAAGGTGTCTACCCACAGCTATAAAACATAGGGTCTCACAGCTCCTACACTGTGCTCCCCTGGAACTGCAGTCAAGATACTAACAGATTAAAAATAGATAATTTTTTTTTCTGGAACTCACAGAGACCCACCTGCTTCTGCCTCCTGAAGGCTGGGATTAAAGGAGTGCACCACTATGCTTGGTTTATTAATTTTTTTTTAAAGAATGGGTGAAACTACTTCTGGATCTTTCCTGTATTCTCAAATTCCATCTTCTGTAACTGCTAAACTCATTAGACAGAAACCTTGAGGTGATTTGGTGAAGAATAATTAACAACCACAGAGAGTTGATAATGTGAGACTTACATTATGGTGGTGGAAACAAATGAGGGCAAAGGAAAGGAGGAGAGGCCAGTCAAGCCCAGAGCCTCACCAGCTAGGATGGCAGCTCCAAGGGTCTAGAGGGAGGAGGACAGGGTGCTGTGGGTCAAGGGTCCTAAAGCTTGGGGGTGAGGAAGCCTTGGGGGTTCCTTGGAGAGAATTGTAAATGGACTGGAATCCAACTGTGTTAGCATGTGTGGCTCTCTAACTGTCCAACGTGGATTATACACCCAATTGTGTTAGGATGTATAGTCTCTATTTGTGGGACCCTCACCCCTTATTATCAAAGGGGCAAGAAGAAATTTCCTAGCAGAATGTTTTTCCAGGAAGATAGTGGCCTTCCCCTCTCCCACCCAGGAGATTCTGAGCACAAGGTCACTTAGCTCGATCCAGCCAGCCACCTGGTACAGGCTGATAAAGATGCCCTAACTCAAGAACAGTAGCCTTGCTCTAAAAACAAGGAAAAAGCTGACTTAACAGAATACGAGGGAGCAAAAGTCCTTGTACCCGTGCCAAAGCATCTTCAAAGATTCTCTTTGTAGTTATGCCTTTAAAAGCTTACCCCACAGAGGAGATACAACTCCTCTCTACCTTGTTGTCACGGGAATGGAGATGAGTTCCAAACATGTTTGTATTATGCTGATTAAACCTTGCTTATTACAGTCTGGGCCTCTCTGGTAGTCTCTCTCTGGGGGTCGTGATCTGGGCACAACATATTGACCAACATGAATTGTACACCCAGCTGTGTTAGAGTGTGTGGGTGTGTCTGACACCGACTGTATACCCAGCTGTGTGTGTGGGTCTCTAACAGTCTGACATGGACTGTACACCCA